GAAAGGTCCATAAAAGTCCACAAAAAAGTGTCAATATTCCTCCATGCTGCTCGTCCAATGTATTCCAAGTGTCCTGAGTGGGTAGCGTCCATAATTTACTCGAAACAAAGTCATTTAGAATGTTTTTAGAGCATAAATCAGTAGTGTATAGGATTTCCTAAAAGCGAGTTCACGAGTCTACGGAAACCGCGGCAGACCAAGGTTTCTGTCTAAATGACTTCGTTTCGAGTAAATTATGGACGTTACCCACTCAGGACACTTGGAATACATTGGACGAGCAGTATGGAGGAATATTGACACGTTTTTTGTGGACTTTTATGGACCTTTCTGCCTCGGGCACCATAGACCTCCATTATTTGAATGTCAGCAGACAGCAAGAAGCCTCCCAGATCTCCAGATGCATTTGAGATATCAAAAAAGTACTCCAGAGTGATGTTCAGCATGGGGGTGAGTAGAAAATGAAGGCTAATCATGTTTTGGGTGTACTATTCCTTTAAGGACTGTCTGATTTATTCTAGTGAAGAAGTTATTAGACATTGATTTTAAAACCCATTAGGATATCAAGCCTTTTAAAGAACTGATGCAAACATTCGTTTTGAAAAGATACAAGCATCCATAGATAACTTGGAGCCCCCTCAACAGGTTAGTCCAGGGGTCAGCCACCCAAACTGCTCAAAAAGCCATATTGCACCAAAAGAATAAAAAACAAATCTGTCTGGAGCCGCAAAAATGTAAAAGTTTTATGTAAGCCTCGTATTGCAACACAGGCAGACATGGGCAATGTGGAGTCAACAAGTCATCTCCATGTCATGTATTCAATCTACCCAACCAATTAACCAGGTGAGTCTAATCTGCACAGGTTAATTCACGGTGAAGATTGGACTCACCTGCTTCAGTGGCCGGGTAGAACAAATACATGACATGGAGATGACTTGTTGACTCCACATTGCCCATGTCTGAACACAGGCTCTAAGTGTATTATCCCACTATAAAAAAGGACTATGTGGGGTCAAATATATAATAAGCATTCATGACTAAATGTTTATCCTGGAGCAAATGTCACATAGTAGCACATAGTAGGTGATGGAGGAGCAGTGAACGCTCTCACTCTCTAGGTTTATTTGCAATTATAGAAACTTGATAAATGAATCTTATTATGGTGGACGAGTTTCTGTTAGAGTTGATTGAGTCATGAGGAACCAAGCAGGAACTGACATCCATCAGATCAGAGCTCTCTAACCCTGAAATCCCATATCCTCCGTCACCAGTGTTCCTTGGTGTGATTTATATTTTAAGGATTTGGGGGGGGGGGGGGGGATCACCTACCTGCATCAGAGCGCTATCTGTTTGATCTGTGGACATTTATTTATGCTTGAAACAAAACTAGCAACAGTAGTGGAGTTTAGAGATGCAATACAATTCTTAAATCTATCTTTGCTCTCCTCTAATTAATCCAGAATTTCTTTGCATTCTTTCTCTCACTCACAACTTTGTGATCGGCTGCTTATTTAGCCTTCCCTGGAAATGCCTTTCCAAATTACTATTTTTATCATTTAACAAATTCTCGTGCCAAAGCAAAAGTGCAGACAATCGTTCCGCATTGATAATGAAAGCAAATTATTTGGCCCATTTCTTCTTGGGATCCCCTGTTCTCATCAGGTATCTTTCTTTTTTTCCCTTTGGGATCCATGGCCTGAGACACACCCACCGCTCTTTTTGCCTGGCAGGCACCGCGCTGAGACATGTGTTGCAGGCTATGGCCACTCTATAGCTATGACGCACATTTTCGTTGGAATAAATGTTTACATATATCGATTAAATTTATTATCCAAATGTTTACAGCATTGGAAAACATAATTAATCTCTGTTTGGTCACCCTGCACTCGATTCGCGTTAACCCCGGGGTTAACGCGAATCGATTTGCTTCGCCTTAATGTGCAGGGTGACCAATCAGGTGTTAGATAACCGCCCCCTAACTTTGATGGGTGAGTTTGACAGATTCTTTTAATGGTTTCGATGCACTGCGACACAGGACCATGAAATAATTAAATGCACACTGAAATAATTATATATATTTTTTTAATAAAATGAAGATGTATTTTATCAAATTAATGACACATTTATATATTTAATTCCTTATTTATTTAATGAATTACACATTTAATTAATTGTTTATCACTGTATTTATTTATTTAATTGTGGCACCTTATATTAGTGACGTGGTTTTAATTAATGAATGACACATTTATTTATTTAATTCCACAGTTAATTAATTATTGACACATTTAATCATTTATTCAATGCTGTATTTATTTATTTAATTTTGGCACTTTTTATCCTCCATAGACAGGTGCCCAAGGCTTCAGCCAGAAATATAATAGCAGACATAGAGGGTAGAAGAGGATAAAAAAATAAATAAATCTCACACTCTGTCTCTGTAGGGCGCAATGTGAGCTTCTCCAAAATGTATTCAATTTCCAGTTGAACTGCAACTGGCCTGCAATCCTCAGCAAAAATGACTCCACTTTGTGATTTTTGATCCTATAGCGTCCGAATGCTGATAGCTCTGCATATTTCATCACAGAAGTAGGGCAGGATCACCAAGGAACGGAAGGCTGACAGTACTTTTTGAATTTCACAGTAGAACAGTTTTTCACCACGTCAAATAAGCAGAAATCCTACAAGAAATAATCCACTCCAACATTATTGACAAGCAGTATAGACAGGCAAATTATCTTCCACTTTCCCCAGCATATGTTCCGTCAGGGTAAGAGGGCTCTCCTTCACCAAGTATCCTCATTGCAAAAATGTTATCAGCCGCGTTGAAAAACAAGCTGATCAGATCCATTATTTACTTCAAAGTTTTGGAAGATATACAAAGAGAGGTTCCAAAAAAGAAGAAGAAAAAAAGCAGCCAAGCAGGAGAGATAAGGTAGGTTTGAGAGAGGAAGAGGATTTAGCAGAGGTTGGTAGTAAATAGTTACATGTACTCAGTTATATTTACTTGAGTAAGTTTTAAAAATTACTTTGAGGACTAGTTTTACAGAATTGTACTTTTTACTTTCACTTGAGTAAAAATACTATTACATATCACTAATCGATTAAACTTTCTGGCTACTCCAATCCATTGCAAGTTACTTCACTCAATTTACCATTGAATGCAAACAGGCTTGCCTTAATCAAATATACACAATTGAATTGTACACAAAGCTTATTGGTTAAATTTTATTTTTCCATCTGTTGAGTCTGCTGAGTCATTTGGAGATTAAATGAAAATAAACTATTCAGTACACTGTAACTTAACCTATTCTTATGTACTGTAAATATTGATTTTGTATTTTTTATAACTAAAAACCTATTAAATCAGTTGTTATGTTAATGGATAGTTAATAGATTACTCAGTTCTTAAGTAACCTGTTTACAAAATACTCTTTTTCATACTTTTTACTTTTATTTGAGTAACAATATGATGAAGTTGTAATATTCTTAAGTACCATTTTTGGGTACGCTAACCACCTTCAGCATTTAGGCAACTACTTTCAGTTTCAAAACTACTACTAAAATCCACAAATATGGTGGTCGAAGGGTTAGTGAATTTGCAATGCTTTGTGGGTTATAGTCGCCATTTTAGCTTTAATTTACACTGCTTGGATTTTGTGCTGGAAGAAAAACCTAGACATAGCACTAGTTATTATAGGAAACTCCCAGGCTTAAAATTAAAACTTCTGATTTTGTCTTGTAATGTAACCAAAATCCCCACAAAAAATTGGCTTACAGTTTGCTGCTACTCGTCCTCACCCAGTTTTTTTGGGAATGTGAACATTTTAATGATTTGCTCTACCGTAATCCTCTTGCTTCAACCAGGTTTCTGTGAAACAAAATACATACATCTAATTATCACTAATAAAGTTACAACCAACAAAGTCTCAGAAAAAAGAGACATAATCTTAAATGAAGCACATTTACTGTTTTTATTTTCTGTTTAGATGGAGTCTCATCTAAATTACGGAGTCCATTTTTCTCCAAACATATACAACAAAGCAAAACCATTTCAGTGACCTCCAACTGGCAAAGCAGGGTGTCATTACCTAGCCTCGTGAGACCATCCTGATCTCGCGAGCTTTCAAGGTTTCCCTCGCACATCAGTCTGGGGACTCTCCGTTAAAGAAAATTTGGAGCCGTTCACCAAACGAACGTCCAATCAGCGTTGGCTTTGAGGCGGGTTGAGGTGTGATGCAACGAGAAGCGCGACAGTTCAGTCTAAAGAACATGCCGGCTTCAGCCGATGAAACTAGCGTTAGCGTGGCTATCGAGCAAGTATTTCTTCACTGAAAAAAAAGAGCAAAACACTGCTCTGGAGGCTTTTCTCAGAGGAAAATATGTTTTTGCTCTTCTCCTGACTGGTTTCGGCAAGAGTAGCCCGGCTGTTAGTACGTCATATGCTTCGTTGATCTGATTGGTTTATTTGGCCCGTCTATCACCAACATAGGCCAATCAGCTAACCAGTATTTTCGCCCCTTCCCAAAATTACTTCAACAGAAGGTTTCCAGATGGATATGCGGAGCAAATCCATCTGGCGGAGTCAGGTTAGTCATTACCACCAACATGGATAACCATCTTACTGCATTTACACTTTTCCTTGTTAGCTAGGATTTGATTTAGTCCCTTTCGGCCCCTTGACAAACATTTGATTATGGTCACTTATGTCTTTAATGCCACATTTCTGAATATGGATCCGACAATCACTTCTTTGGAGAGCTCCTATGTGGAGCTACCATCCAAGGCTCTGCTGACTACATTTATTACAAGGACCGTTATCTTTTAAGAGTCAGAGGAGTAGCTATATCTGACATACAGAGTATGTGACAAAACTCAGGCATAAACAGAGTTAAAAATAGAGAAACTGATAGAGAACCTATGAAATGTTTTAGTACATTAGCGTGAATTTGCCTTGTAAACTACCCTCAGACTTATTTTTTAAAAATAAAAGTTTTAAACCCTTCTTATTAAAATTATTCTTTATTAAACTGAGACATCTAATAGGACAGAGAAATAAGATAAAGATAAGAGAATAAGTTTAGTCAGCTATTATCCAAAAGCTAACAGGAAGCAACCCCCTAATACAACCTGTAAACCGCAACTTGTTCCAATTGGTAAAAAGGACAGAGGGCTGATTTTATACAAAGGAAAAGGGACACATAATCATAAAATCAAGCAAGAGCTCCATTGTCCGAACCTTCGGTGACCTTTTCATTTCTGGAAGTGATCTGATGATATCTGCAGCTGAGTGTGCTGAAAACATGAACAGATAGAAAGAAAAACAATATGATGTTAGTGACGCTCAGAAATCAGATCTCACACACCAACCTGGACTTTTAAAGAATTCCTTCAATTACAATGAGCCGATCATAGAGGATGATCATGGAACTGTTCAACAATGTATACTTAACAAGTTCATGATCTTATTCTGCTAGTTGAGAAATCGAAAGCTTTTAAAGTAAGCTGTAATGCATTTAGAATCAGTTTAACCATAAAAGTGCACGGCTTAATACAGCATTGTCTTTTCCCTGAGAATTTAAGCACACATCGTTGAACCTGACCTCTGCCTCCCTCCTTTGGTTTGGGTCTCCAAGGAAACATAAACAAGGTTTGAACGAACAATAGATTCTTTCTTTTACAAATTGCTCCTGAATAAAGATTTTCTAAGTTCCTGTGAGACAAACAAGTGATGACATCAAGATAGGAGGATCTCGGTTTGCTTTATCTATTAGCTTTTGTGTTCATGCATCCAGCAGTGATCCTTTTGCACAGTTACACTTTAGTTTGATATAATAATAATGATAATAATTGAACTTTATTGATCTCACATTGGAGAAATTGATGTCTGCATTTAACACAACCCCTTGGAGAGCAGTTGGCTGCTATTGTGCGGCACCCAGGGAGCAGTGTGGGTCTTGCTCAGAGACCCAGACTGCAGGCTGTGGGGATCAAACCGGGTACTTGCAACCTTCTCAGAACAAAAGCGCACTGCTCTAACCAACTAGACCAACACAAATTCCTTCCAATTTCTAACTTTGGAAGTCCAAGTGAGAAATTGCCTTAGACATTCTGAGGCCTGTGGCAGTAGAAACACTACCAACCAGCCTGAGATCAAACCTAGAACTAGAATTAGCTTCACTGGACATGATCCTGAGCACAAAAGTACAGAGTACAGAGGCTGTGATACAGACAGGATAGGAAGCTGTCAGTTCTTACCTGTTGGACCTCCATCCTTAAAAAATGAAAGGAATGACTGCTTTCCTGCAGCGGGGATAATCCTTAAACCTTTGCTGATAATCTCTGGAAAAAAACAGAAGCAGCAAAGAGCAGGTCAGCCCGAGTTCTCCTGGGGTGAGAGCTGAGGGAAGTTTTAATGAAAGTTGGAACAACTCCAGGAGCAAATCTACAAACCTCAAAGAGGAAAAAACTCAGAAACTATTTACTTTATTTCCTCTCAGTCAGAAGAAATTAGATTTTTGGCAATTTCAGGCTTTAAAACATTTTAGAAATATTTATTCAGTCTTCATCGTAGCAGATTATCCTGACCCAGAAGTGGTTCTAGCTGCTATTTGCTCGGATTCTTCTGCAAACACGTCTCCAGCCGTTCACCTGTTCACATCAGCCTTCGTCCCCCTTTGTCAGTGGGCCTGTTTTTGTTTGTCTCATAACATTAAATTAAAGTCCACCATCATCACTTATAGGCTTTTTACAGGGGCGGGGCAGATGGGAGCCAGGGTTGGCCATGGCCTAGCCTGACGTAGTCCGACTCAATTCTAGTCAGAATATGAGTCTGATTCTGCTCCATAGAGCTGTGATTATGGGGCGTGTTTCGAACGAACCAGGAAAAAAATGCCTCTGCACTCAATTGGATAGACCTACAACCAATAAGAGCAACGGAGTGCGTGACGTATGTTAAGCGACGCATAGTTGTTGTCAAAAAAAAATCAAAGCGTGCAGTTGCACGCCTAGAATAAGAAGATGAGCCTTGATCGCGTTTCTCTGTTCCTCTTTTATTGATCGTCTGTCCATCATCGTATAAAGCCCGCCCCGACAATTTGATTGGCCCGCCAGATATTGTGCGTGCATACTCGCGCTACTATTGAGCAATGCCAGACCGAACTTCCCGACCTCAAACTTTGTGGGCGGGACTAAGTTCGGAATGGCACCCAGGCTAGCCATGGCCTGCCCTAGAAGATGATTTGTTGATCACATGTGGAAGTGACAATTCATCATCAATGGAACAAACATCCCCCTCTAAACCAGGGGGTGGCAGCACTAATACTCTTTAAGTAGAAGTTTATCACTCATTTCACATTTTAATTGTTTTCCTTCCTTCCTTCCTTCCTTCCTTCCTTCCTTCCTTCCGAACAAACGAAGACATTTCCGGTATTTCGATATTTGCTGCAGTCTACAAAAATATATTGATCCAATGACCTAATGTCCCTGTTTTGAATGACCTGTACCATGCGGAAGTCGGCCAAGCAAATTTAGTGTCTGATGAAAGAGAAAGAAGTTGCAACATGCAGACCATACAGGAAGCATGATGCTGGTAAAGCAACAGTTGGGCACGCAGTTTAAAGTTAACCAGAACAGAAAAGCTGAGATCAGCCTTCAAATAAGAGGAAAGGATAAATGAGTCACCTCTGACAGGCAGTTGTACTGTGACATTATGGGTTGTGTTTTGCTCAGATAAATGTTTGGTGCAAGGCTTGTGCTTTCAACGCGCCATGCCCAGGTAAAAAAAAAAAGAAGAAAAAACAGGGCTAGTTTTGAATAAAAACGAAGGGAAGGAAAACAAAAAGTAAACTTTAATTAAAAGGAGAACAAGAATAGAGAGGAGAAAATTGAAAGGATAATAAAAACAAACAAAATACCTGGGTCCAAAGGAATGACCCAGGTATTTTGTAGGGATGCACGATATAATCAGCCCCCTATCGGTATCGGCCTGTATCGGCCTTAAAACTGAATATCGGACATCGGCCACCCCACCGATATTTAACCCGATATTTGATCAGCTTCTAAGTTTCTAAAGTCTAAAAAAAAAAAAAAAAAAATACTACTTCTTCTTCTTCCTCAAAAACGTCTTTTTTACAGACTTAAACATTTCTAAAGACAAGGGAAAAAATATTGATACATTAAAATATCACAATATCTTCATATGCTGATATATTGCCATTTAAAAACACCATATCAATCTCTTTTACTAATGAAATATTGCTATATGTCATCGTTATGCTACGAAATCCCCCCAAAATTCATGAAATGTTGCCATATTTTTATATGTCGATACATTGACGCGGTATCGATCTATTTTACTAACAAAATCTCACAAGAATTTGCAAAATATCCCGAGAGTTTGTAACAGAACGATGAAATTTCACGAGATTTTGAAAGTAAAATAGATCGATACCGCGTTTTTAAAAATCAATTTGATATCAGCATATGAAAATATATTTGAGTATATTATTTTTCAAAGTGTCAGAAATGGATAACAAAACTGCTATTTTCAATGACTACTTATTTTTGTCCAGCTTTAACATCGGTATCGATATCGGTTATCGGCTACATGAGTTTTAAAATATCGGCATATCGGCCAAAATCCCAATATCGTGCATCCCAAGTATTTTGTGGACATGGCAGCCCTACATGATTTAATCTAATTTATGGGGTGACATGCAACGTACCAGAGGACATATACACGCGTTTAGTGGTTTCAAGAGGAAATACATAGTGAAAATAATAATCCTAAAGTAAAAAGAAAAAATCTACTTGGTAAAAAGGTTACTTAACTAGGATAAAGCTCATAAAGTGAAATATTGACATTCTGTGTATCATTGTTGGAGTGGATATCATTTATATTTAATTAATTTAATTACATTTTCATATGTTAAATTGATAAATGATCTGACATAGATTAATAAAGTAATTTCTGATAAATACATTTTTGATTACATGATGACTTAGGTCGGCTTCAAAATGGGCGTCGCCCTCTATGCCCAATGGCCAATCCAGCTCTGAGCTTCAATAAGAGTTTATCAAAAGCATTGCTTTTTAAGATATAACTGGTGAACTTTAGTTTGAATTTTCAGATCTAGTTTTTAGCTTTTTAGCTAATTTATTACAAACATTGTTATTTTATTTTTCAAAACTTAGGTCAGTTTGTCTCTTTGAAAGTATGAGAGTCAACCAGAAACTAAAAGAGGCAAGACATGCAAGGAGGGAGGGATAATTACCTGGTTAAATTGCGTGCTTCATCTGTTCAGCTTGTAGCTCCAGAAAAAAAATAAATAAAACAATAATTTCAAAAATGTTATATTAGAGGAGTTTCATGGACTTGACATAATAATGCTCAGAGTTTTGTACAGGTTTGGCATGGCTTTTCTTAGGCTTTTATATTGTTTATCTCGACATCTGAGCTATATTGCATGGATCGAAATTAGAAAATACATCATGATTCAAGTTTTGCCATGTTGTCCAGCCTTAGAGCTGAGAGCAGCGGAGATACAAAGAATGGCAGAAGCATGTCCCAAAGATCAGCATGTTGGACAAAGGATAGACAAGATGACCTAATCAGAACTCGAAGTCATGAGGAGATCGTCCTCTCTACCTTTAATTTAGTGGCATGGATATTTATTAGCAAGAGCTTCAGGAAAATCTGAACTGTCTTTAGTTATTTATTTGGAAAATATGGATGTTTTGCTGGTTCATTTTCCTTTTTGAACAGCTTAGAAGGACTTTGAAATTATTCTTGTACTTCTGTCCACTGTCAGCATAAAGCAGGTATCCAATAAATGGAGCCAATCAGAGCAGAGGAGTCTTGATCCTTTATTAGCTAGAGCAGAGGTCTGCAACATTTTCCAGGCCAAGGACCCCCAAACTGATGGCGAGATGGAGCGGGGACCCCCCAATTACAAATATTGGATGAAATAGTGTTATATCAAACTGGTCGTATAATCACTCTATTACAGATGAAGTAATGTAATGAAAGTAATTTCTCCCTGGGATTATTAAAGTATTTCTGATTCTGATTCCTGGTTGATGGGACGGGTGTTGTAAATGAAATGGTTCCCAGCTTGAAAGAGCTCCCGTGTGTCCTTGAATGTGTGCATTGATGACTAAAAGACATCTGCCTCCATTTATCTGTTTACTTCAATGTGTTGAATTCATGTTAATGTGGATTTAAAGACATTTCAATTAGTGGAAAAATTGCACTGCAAAAAATTCATATCTCAATAAGTGATTTCTTCTTAAAATAAGTGCATTTTTTCTTGAATTAAGGAGGTAAGTGAGACACTTTGCCAATGGAACAAGACAATTTACATTTATAATAAGAAAAAACAAATATATAGCCTTATTACAAGTGCAAATTATCTAATTGTCTTATTTTAAGAGTAAAAATACTCATTCCATTGGCAAATGTTCTATTTTACCTGCTCAAATTAAGGGCAAATACACTTAATTTAAGACATATTTACTCATTTTTAGATTGTTATTGCAGTGTGCAGGGGGAATATTATAAAAAAAGTCTAATCAACCAAAACTTTTGCGACCCCCATGCAGTACCTATTCCCCCCCCTAGGGGTCGCGGACCCCTTGTTGAAGACCACCGCTGTAGAGGGATTGGACTGACTGGTACCTGTGGTGATGGTAGGCTCTGGGCCCAATCGAGCAGATGGTGAAGAAGGCAAAGGCGAAGGTTGGTAAGGACCAAGCGGCGAGAGCGTAACCACACCACTCTAAGATCTCTCCGAAAAAGTTAGCACCAGAGACGAACTCAAACATCCCTCCTGGAAGACAGAAACAGGTCAACAGGAAGAGGACTGAAGGATTTTGGTGGATCTATCGCGTCTTTGATTGGGTTTGTACCGCGAGGAATCCTGTAGACAATCTCCCCAGGGTTCCTCAGGTTTCGCAGAATGTGGTCGCTGTGGATGTTGATGATCAGACCGATGAAAAACAGCAGAAACCCTTTAAAGAGGTAAAAGGAGATTTTAGGTCCAACAGAAGGTCTCGTATCACTAACCAGCTTTAAGTACAATTCGTCTTCTCAATTTTTTTTAGCAATTTCAGAAACAACTAAACCCAGGGGAACCGGGTCAAACTAGTAAGAACCCAGACACCCCTCACACTCCGACAACTATACAACTAACTCAAACTACCTCAGCTCAACCTCCTTTCTTCCACAAAGAGACAGAAGTAGGGATGCATGATATTGGGATTTTGGCCGATATCCGATATGCCGATATTTTAAAACTCATGTAGCCGATAACCGATATCGATACCGATGTTAAAGCTGGACAAAAATACGTAGTCATTGAAAATAGCAGTTTTGTTATCCATTTCTGACACTTTGAAAGATAATATACTCAAATATATTTTCATATGCTGATATCAAATTGATTTTTAAAAACGCAGTATCGATCTATTTTACTTTCAAAATCTCGTGAAATTTCATCGTTCTGTTACAAACTCTCGTGATATTTTGCAAATTCTTGTGAGATTTTGTTAGTAAAATAGATCGATACCGCGTCAATATATCAACATATAAAAATATGGCAACATTTCATGAATTTTCGGGGTATTTCGTAGCATAACGATGACATATAGCAATATTTCATTAGTAAAAGAGATTGATATGGTCTTTTTAAATGGCAATATATCAGCATATGAAGATATTGTGATAATTTAATGTATCAATATTTTTTCCCTCGTCTTTAGAAGTTTTTAAGTCTTTAAAAAAACGTTTTTGAGGAAGAAGAAGTAGTATTTATTTTTAATTTTTTAGACTTTAGAAACTCAGAAGCTGATCAAATATCGGGTTAAATATCCGATATATCCGATATTCAGTTTTAAGGCCGATACAGGCCGATACCGATAGGGGGCTGATTATATCGTGCATCCCTAGACAGAAGTCCTCTGTGTTCTTAAGATGTTCTGATCCCAAACATTTGGAGTCTGGCTGCAGTTTCCTCTGACGTTCCAAAAACCTTTGGAAAGCCCTTCCTGTCGACGGGGAGCAGCTTTCTGTGACTCACCTGCAGAGATCCGAGCGTTCGTCACCCAGTCAGGCTGGAACTTGGCACAGTGGAGCAGGTGGTGTCCCTGCAGGAAGCCATTCAGCGAGCAGAAGATAAAAGCGGAGAAGACGATCTTTAACGGCACCGGCCGGCCTCGGGTCAAAGGGGAGTAGACAAAGCTCCTGAAGAACAAAAGACAATCGTCTTCAAAACATGTAGACTAAAATGGAATAAGCTTTTAGAAGGATTAAAAACCATGGAGTGTTTTATTGATCTAAAGCTCTGGTCATATAAACAATCAACTGAAACTGAAGAGCTGGACCCAAACCCGACTGGGTTCTGACTTATGATCCAGTTTCCCTGAAACTCACCAGCTGCTAAATGAGTTATAAATGAGAAAGAAAATAAGAGCAGGCATTTTTAAAAGACTGTTTAACGCAAACCTCTTATCTCTTATTGCTGTACGTTATAATGTCCCACGCTACAAAGGTACCTTAAATGCATCACAGTTTTTTAGGTTGGATACAAGAATATATGGAGTCAATTATGTTCCAGTATTGTTGCAAATAATACATTTAGTAAATGTAGCATTTGAAATAAATGCAATCCAGAAATGAAAATTTGAAGAAAGTTTGAATAAAAAAGGGGGTTTAGCTAGTAACTTTACGGTTCTCTGAGATTATTTTTCTATGTATTTTGTATGTATTTTACATATTTTACCTTTTAAAACTTTTTATATTTAAGTAAGTTTATATACGTTTTTCAGACTGAATTTTAGGAAATGCATTTTTTCCAAATTATGTTTTATACATCACATTTTCTTTACTTCTAGCCAAATAAAAATTTGTTGTTAACGTAGAGCCTGTGATCTGTAAAACTCAATTTGAAAATTAGAAATTTAAAAGAATGAAAAAATAAATAAAACATTCTTTTTTTATGAAATAGTATGGAAAAAAAATTATTCTAGAAAACAGCTAAATAATTTTATGAGTTTAATTTCTTATTGCAATATATTTCAAATTGCCATTTACAAAATGTGTTATTTTTAACAACAATGAAACAAAAACCACTCTATACATACCAGAGATTTAAAAGTATTGACTTCTGATTGGATCAATCTATATATCATCCTGCCTGAAATGTTGATTTAGAAACAAACTGGACAGAGTCAGTATTTTTTATGTTCTCTACCAATACTGACAGAAAAAGAGGAAAGCTAACCTATTCTTTTTGTGTATAAATGTTTTTTTTAAAGAATTTTTTTATGTATTTTGTATCTTTTAAGGCACAAGTATACAAAATCTCTTTACTTTCGTAGAGAAGTCAGGAGCAGTCTTACCATTAGGTAAACATAGGCAGTTGCTTAGGGCCCCGAGCTCCTTTTACATGTATGGTTAATACAGCTATTCCTTATTTGTGCACATTAAATATGTTTTTGATAAAATTCCTTCCGCTTATTATATTAAGTGTGTCTTGGGGGGCCAACCCTTCGAGACGAGCAGAGAAGAGCTACCTTAGCGGCGCAGAAGATTTACTTTTGCCGTCGCCTTTTTGGAAACACAGGAAGGAGCAATCAGTGAGCTTGGAAAAAAATCTTTCATTCCTTTTGAAACAGCATGAAAAGTCAGCTGAGTACAAAACAGAGAGGAAAACAACAAGAAAGGGACAAGAAAAGAGGGACAAAACCTAGAACAAACTAGAAAAAGCTGTTTCACAGAAACAGCAAAGTGGGAATGCTTTTTTTGCTAAACGAAATAATAAAAATTAGCGAAAGAAACTGCGAGAAGGAAAAGAAGCACAAATTAGCTAAGGAACGTATGAAAATGTGATAGGAAGTCATCAGAAACTTCAAACTGCAGAAAACAATCATCTGAAGATTTTGTAGGGTAGAATCATCTAGCAGTAAAATGGCAGAAACAGACTCATCTTAAAAGCTGCACAGCCAAACCATATGTGATATCAAAAAATGTGTTCAATGTGGACAGTAGAAGGGTCTAAATGTAATGTCTCCCAAGTTTCTAGAAAAAGTTCTAAAGAAATTTTGAAGGGGGGCCACCTACTTTCCAGAAAAATGTCAGGCGTGTTATGAATTAGCAGCAAACAGACAGGCTTAATTCCTGTCCAGAAAGAGAGCAGAATGAAGCCAAAGTTCACAACATAGGCTGAAAAGTATTAAATTAGTTGAATCAGAAAAGAAATTACAATGAAAAATTTTAATCTTATCTGGTTGAAGAAAAAAGTAGTAGCTGAAGGATGGGAAATAAAATGTTGAGGAAGATGGTATTGAATACGTATCAAAATTTTGAAATCATATGTGGAAATGTCAAGACTTGGCAAAACAATTTAAAATGATTTAAAATGTGTTGGTTGATCAGCATAAAGAAAACAGTGTCATCATTTGAGGATTGAAAATCTACAAACCTATGTGCAAGACTGACCATTAGAAGCAGAGGAAGGACAGAGAGAGAAGCTTATAGAAAGAGAGATAATGCCACTTAAGGAGCTGAATTTATCAAAAAAAAACTAACCTGCATGTAACGAGCCGCTGTGGTGATGAAAGCACCCTTGGCAGGCTTAGGCTGCATGTTATGAGGTTAGCAGATTCTTTATTACAGTGTAAACCTTAGAGCCTTATTAAGAAGTGTGCACTGAGGTGTGTGGTCAACAGGCCTTGGTAGTGTAATTTGAAGAAATTGGATGACTTTGGGTCATAGCTACGAGCCATACGGCACAATGAATGAGTGTGTGTAAGGAAGAGGCTTTTATTTTGTAGGGTTCCTTTAGTCTTATTTCAAAAGTCTATCATGAATGTGTGTTAACACAGGGGTCATGCCCAGCAATGATATGGAATCCATTTCTAAATATGAAATCACTGGTTTTCCATGTTATTGGGTGAATAGATGCTGTATAAGAGCGTAAATGGGAGACTTTTAAGTGAAATTCGCTCTGGGGTATATTTTGAAAAGGTCCCTAGAGTCTAATACAATCAAGCTGGTAGAGCTTGGGTTATAATGCTGAGCCATTTGCATCAATTAATACATGAGTATAACATAGAGGCTTTTATTGTGTTGGGTCCCTGGAGTCTTATTTTGAAAGTCTAGCAGGGTTGTGTGTTGAGAAAAGGGTCAGACCCAGCAATGATACTTGATGACTTTTCAATCCTTAAATCACTCTTTTTCCCTGTTATTAGGGCAGTAGATGAAGTGGCAATTGGAGGCTTTTATTTTGAAATTTGCTGGGGGGTGTGTTTTGAAACCCCCTAGAGTATAATTTTGAAAAAGTCGTTGAGTTTGGGTCATAATGTTGAGGCATATGCTTGGGGGAAAAAAATGAGTTTAATGTAAGGGCTTTTATTTTGTAGGGTCCCCGGAGTCTTATTTTGAAAGTCTATCAGGGTTGCGTGTGAAGGGAAGGGTCATGGCCAGTAGTCATATTGTATCCATTTCCAAATGTTAAATCAGTGTTGTCTCCCTCCATTAGATTAAAATGTGCTGTTTAAAGGGGCAGAGGTAAAATCCCTTTGAAGCTCGGTTACCTTGACGATGCTTAACGAGCCTGTCAGTGACAGAGAGACATGCGCTTCACTTTCATTCCTTTCCTCTCAGGCTTTTTTGAATGGGAATGTCATCTCCGAACAAACGAGTGCTGAAGACAAACCGTAAATGGTATCTAAAAAATTCTTTCAGTCTAAGCGACAGCTATCCTTTGTCTCCGATTGGGATAACTTTCATGGCTGTAGCTCATTCACAGCCTTAATGGGAAGGAGAAATATAAAGGTTTGTAAATACTGCTGGTCTCATTAAATAACATGGAGTTCCATGGTAGAGGTGAGCTGTCAAAAGCAAAACTTCCCCTCCGAACAAACGAGTGGTGAGCCAAAACCGTAAAAGGTATTCAAAAGATTCTTTCACCGTGGACATCAGCCATCCTTCAGCTTCGAGTGTACGAACTTTCATGTGTCTACTAAAAACTATTTGGCCACAGTGATGATGTAAAAATGTGCATTTTCTGAGTTTGAGGATTTTTCTCAGAATCAACATTTTCCTATGCACGAAAAAGTTAGCTAAACAGCTAAACCATAAATGATATTGAAGAAATTCCTTAAATGTGAGTGCTAGAAGGTTCTGAAGATGTTCTATACCAAGATTCATGATAGTACATCAAATAGTTAAGAAATGGGAGTGATACGAAAATATGTATCATTTTGGATTTTGTTTGTGATCTTTGGAAAGTCTCTCATTGGATTTTTATTGGGGAAGTGTGGACTTCTTCGTGGTCTGGGCCAAACTGTCGGAAAACTGTAGATGCCACACAAATGAGGGTTACATTTCCTGAATCCTGACAAAAATCCCTACATTTTCATGTATAATTTATTTCAATTGAGTGAAAAATGAGGGAGTGAGAACAATTTGTTCTAAAAAACCAGAACAGCTCAAAAGCTAGAGCACGCACTCTAGCAGTTGAAGAATTCCGTCCATAGACTTCCATTATAAATCTGAAAATCTTAAAATTTTCTTTTAAAGTTTGAAGCTTCACTGAAGCAAAACTGTATAAGTTAGCAAAAAAGCTGAGTTAAACAGTAATAGCAGAAAGATACGGAAATATTTTAAAAGTTGAATGGTGTTTCTAACTGAAAGTATGCTGAAGTAGTTAAAGGTCGAAGATGATAAAGTTTTAGCTGAATTTTGCTGAAATCTAAGAATTCTACATGCATTTCAATGGGACAAAAAAAACGCAGAAAAAGCAGAATATCGCGAAAACTACAAAAAATATCTTTACCAAAAGACATAGCACAATTCTCCTGAACAAGCTGAACGTTTTGATACCAAAATTGTTGAAATCGGTTGAAAACTGCGGGACTAGTTAGAGTCCGAAAAATTTAAAGTGAACAACAATAAGTGGGAATGCATAAGCATTCCCACTTGATAATGGATGTCTATTCTATTAAAATTTCCGTATCTGTATAATGGGTCTGTTTTATGTGTTGTCTTCTTAATTCAGAGGGCCCCCTGTGTGTCTTTGCCTAGGGCCCCAAATTTCTTAAATCCTCTCCTGAGTGAAGTACAAAGTAGTACCTGTACTTTTAGAAGTTCAATCAGTACAATTAGTAGACTTTTTTTCAACAGGTTAACAGCAATGAATGTCCTTTCTGATCTCCTAATAATGACATAATATCTCACAATTACGTATTTTATCTCATAATTAAAAGATCTTTTCTCATAATTACGAGACCTTATTTTATCTCATAATATTGAGATCAGTATCTCGTAATTATGGGAAAAGATCTCATAATAACGAGAAATAATCTGAAAGAAAAAATGTTTTTATAACGAGATAAAATCTTATAAGTACGAGATAAGATCTGCTAATTAAGAGATAAGCTGTCGGATTGTTTTTTTTTTTTTTTTCCGCAGGTAAAGTTATTAAAGTAAAGAATTTGAGCACTTTTAACAGCTTTTTTTCATCTTGTACAAGTTTATAATTTTACAAAAACCTAATCGTATGTTGTTTTTTTATATTATGGTGAAAACTAACAAACTGTAAATATGTTTGGTATTCTCCTAGTGAAGTGAGGACTTTGTTTGGACCAGGTGGGATTTCCATATAGAGTCAGCCTCGGTCCTCAGTAAGTACCTAAAACGCGCATGTGTGTGTGCAGGTGTCAAACATCCAGACTAAAAACTACATCCCGGTTTTAGATCGGATCCTGGACTTCATGCGACCACAAACACCCCGAACCCCTGTGATCCGGAAGGGACCAGAACCTTCCCCCCACCTTGCCTCTGCTGACCCTGACCTGTAGAAGTAGTGCAGCATGAAGGTCCAGAGGAGCAGCGTCCCCCCGGTCCCGCTCTCCTGTCCCCCGCAGATCCACAGCAGAAGCGGTACCAGGAAAGCCGGAACCTCCTGAACGAACCAGCCCAGCGCCGCGGGCCAGCAGCGGCTGCCCGCCTCTACGTAGCGGCCGTAAGGTCCACTGCAGCGGCTCTGCTGCAGCAGGAAGGCCGACCCGCCGAGCAGCAGCGCCCAGCTGAGGGAGGACACGGCGGCGTCCCGGCACTGCATCATAAGCGGCGGTTCCACCTGGAGCGGAGATGCGGTGGAAGAAACCAGAGAGACGAAACGCTAAAGCAGCTTCCGTTTCTGCATCTTACGAAACAGCAACATAAAGAAACAAAGGGCTCTTTCTTTCTTTTATGTAAATGGTTTGATTAATATCAATGAAGTATAATAAAATAAAACATTCAGCAGGCACCTGCAGGCTGACTGAGTTTAAAGAAGCTGCATTCCCTCAGTGAGAGCACTGAAAAGCAGATTTTATCCTAAATCAAACACTGAAAGATAAAAAAAAATGCCAATTGATAAAAAAAAACTATAAAGAAAAAAGAGAATAAAAACTTTATGGTTATTCGCTCTGTCTAATGCTGCAGCTGAACTTTTAAGAAATCAGTTTTCTCTCAGATGCCTTCTGTCGAGGCGCTATTGGCTGACACCGCGTAGGTGTGAGGGGCGGGGCTAAACTCACGGCAACATATATGAGGGCGGGGCTAACCCGAAGGTTGGAGCTAAACTTTTAAAAATCATTATTATTTTATTGAACAAAAAACATTAATTTACATTTTCAAGGAGAAACCTCGACTTTTTTCTTACAAAAAAGAGAAAATAACAGTTATATACAGGAGATCAACTTCACTTGTGTATAAATAAATACATAAACAGGCAGTGACATTACAACCAATGGAGACATACTCCTGCAACAAGGCAGTTCCTTTCTTCTTCTTCTAAGTTTTTTCTCCTTTTTTTGTATTGTAAACCATTATATACAATGGGGCTGAGCAGTGGGTGGCACTGCTGCCTTGCAGCAAGAAGGTTCTGGGTTCGATTTCCGTCCCAGGGTCTTTCTGCATGGAGTTTGCATGTTCTCACTGAGAATGCGTGGGTTCTCTCCGGGTACTCCGGCTTCCTCCCACAGTATGTTCTCCCTGAGAATGCGTGGGTTCTCTCCGGGTACTCCGGCTTCCTCCCACAGTCCAAAAAACATGACCGTTAGGTTAATTGAATTTTCTAGATTCTCCTTAGGTGTGTGAATGGTTGTATTTCCTGTTTGTCTCTGTGTTGCCCTGCTGCGATAGACTTGCGACTTGTCCAGGTTGTACCCCGCCTCTCGCCCGTAGACAGCTGGAGATAGGCACCAGCACCCCTCGCGCCCCCAACTGGGAAAAGCCTGTCAGATAATGGATGGATCATATACAATAGATAAAGTGTCTGCATCAGATGTATATAAACCTGAAAAACCCTTGAGGAGCCGACCCAGGTTGCTTCCACAATTACAGGACGAATAGAACAAAAAAATAAAAACAATCGGGTAGAGCTAAACTCAAGGCTTCCTCTGAATAATTAAAAGCTTGTATTTTTTTATGTTTTATTTGACAAAGTAAATATAAGAGTATTTTACTGTCCAGATTTTGGACATGTTTTTTGTCCATGTTTTCAAAATTTGATTTTCAAATTATTTATTCTGGAGTGTTTTATTTTATTTACATTTTTTATTTACATTTCTAATTTTTCAAAGCTTTATTTTAACATTTCTTAATTTTGGATTTTTTTTTATTTTTTATTCCTAGCTTAATTTTTTAAGTTTTTGACTATTCAATGTTTATTTTTTCAAAGCATGGTTTAGATTTTTATTTTTTATCTAATAATGGTTAATTTTTTTAATGTCACATTTGTCATTTTTTTCACAGTTATATTTTTCATTGTTTGTGTCATGATGGGTTCACTGAAAGCGACCCAAGAATGCAGAACACCACTGACTGACACAAGGATGAAAGTTTAACAGTTTTATTTTGCACAAACACACTGAATATTCTGGTTCAGGTTCGGGGCCTGGATTCTGGTTCACCGGAGTCTGCGTGAGAGACAGTTCAGTTAGCGTTGCCAACAGAAGTTTGATTTCCAGAAGTCTACTGATTGTACCTTGAGGGTTCTTGAGGTTAGCTTTGGGAGAGTCACTGTTGGTTCTGGAGAAGAGTTCATCAGCAGAGTCCGTAGCTGCTTCAGCGTCTCACGTCTACTTAGAACAGACCTTGGCTTTGGGTTACCCAGCTCAAGTCCAGAGCTGCTTGGAGGTTCTCTGTGAATCTTCAGGTTTGGCTCAGAGGGTCGGCTCGGCAGGTTAGCTCTTCCAGAGCTTTCACAGAGGAGGCACAGGTTTCCTGGAAAACAGACACAGGGGTTAGAATCCAAGCTGGATTCAAAAGTCATAGATTTACTCTGAGGATCTAGGCTTAAGCGTTGACCAACTGGAACAACACTGCGGCGTTGAGGCAAGGTCTGAAGACAGCTTAAGTAGTGGATCCTCTGATGATCTAGATGAGCTGCAGCTGTGCAGGAGGCTCCCTCAGAGGATCCACGGCGGACTCTGCTGGAGAAAGGTGGAATTTCTCCAGCTCCCAACAGTTTGAATTTTCAAAGCTTGATTGGAAAATGTTTTACTCTTTAATTTTTCACAGTTTATTCTATAATTTGTTTATATTTCAATATTTCATTTTTTTAAAGGTCGGATATTTTACCTACATCTGCAGTTTGAAGCACTGTTAGAACAAGAAGGTCCTGGATTTGATTATTGGCCTGAGGTCTGCATGGAATTTGGATGTGTTTCCTCATGCATGGGTTTTCTCCTGGTTCTCCGGCTTCTTCCCACACATCACAAACAGGACTGTTAGGTTAATTGTTGTCCCTAAATTGTCCTTAGATGTGTGTGTGCTCTTGTTTTTAATATATTGTGGGGCCCATTTTCAGGGAAAATGGCACGGGACTCTTTACTCCTTGTGGAGCCCCATACCTGGACCAAAAATGGGGAATTAGTGTTAATAATTGTTTATGGGTCATGTTTAGGCCTAAGTTGTGAATTGAGTTTAGATTAGGTATGAACCCGTAATGGTTAGGTGAAAATAATTCTCTCCATGACTCTCCCCACCCCCTCAAATGACTTGGGCAGTTTCAGAGAGCCAAAGGCAATGCACAGGTTGATGCACGTTCGTTGGAATCTCTCGTTTCCATTCCATTCGTTGAATGAGTTGTATGACTTATCAACAAGAGTGGAATGGATCTTAAAATTAAAAAGATGTTTGAAAAGGTATAATAATGTCCAATACTGTAGATTGTCAAGGATCTGAACAGAGGACCCAATATTCATACAGACAGTAAGATATTTCAAAGGGTTGTTTATTTAAAAATGATGGATCTGCAGTGAGCAGCTAGGGCGTCTGGGGCAGGAACCTCTTCAGGAAGAAAACACAATTTAATGACCATGTTAGTTTGGTGAAGGATGATTACGATTAGGGATGCACGATATTGGGATTTTGCCCGATATCCGATATGCCGATATTTTAAAACTCATGTAGTCGATAACCAATATTGATACTGATGTTAAAGCTGGACAAAAAATAAGTAGTCATTGAAAATAGCAGTTTTGTTATCCATTTCTGACACTTTGAAAAATAATATACTCAAATATATTTTCATATGCTGATATCAAATAGATTTTTAAAAACGCGGTATCGATCTATTTTACTTTCAAAATCTTGTGAAATTTCATTGTTCTGTTACAAACTCTCGTGATATTTTGCAAATTCTTGTGAGATTTTGTTAGTAAAATAGATCAATACCGCGTCAATATATCAACATATAAAAATATGGCAAAATTTCTTGAATTTTTGGGGGATTTCGTAGCATAACGATGACATATAGCAATATTTCATTAGTAAAAGAGATTGATATGGTGTTTTTAAATGGCAATATATCAGCATATGAAGATATTGTGATATTTTAATGTATCAATATTTTTTCCCTCGTCTTTAGAAGATTTTAAGTCTGTAAAAAAGAAGTTTTTGAGGAAGAAGAAGAAGTAGTATTTTTTTTTTTTGACTTTAGAAACTAAGAAGCTGATCAAATATCGGGTTAAATATCGGTGGGGTGGCCGATGTCCGATATTCAGTTTTAAGGCCGATACCGATAGGGGGCCGATTATATCGTGCATCCCTAATTACGATCGTTTGAGTCACTAAACTTGTCTTAAGGTCAGTCCGGGCCCAGAGAGAGAGGTGGATTCCAGCCAAACAGCTGCTGACAAGATGCGAACACTGCTCAGCGAGTCACAGACGTTGAAGCCTTGAAGACTGCAGAACTTGCAGGAGAACAGATCCGAGCAGATAAAGGGATGCAGGATAATTCACAGGGCAAAGCCAAAGCCAGTGTTGAAGAGTTTCACAGGCGTCCGGCCCAGAAGATCAGAGATACAAAGAGGTACCACACGAAAATCTAGGTCAGTGTCAGGAAGCAGTTCCAGGGTAGGTCAACTGGCAGAATCCAGCTGGAGTCCAAAGACAGGTCAGGCAAACAGATCAGAACAGGAACAGGCAGGTTCAGAGGTCCAAAGGCTGAATGGGTCAGGATCAGGCAATCAGAAAACAATCAAATAAGCTAAAGAACTCTCACCAAAGGCTTGAATAATCTGGCACCGATGACTGGGAGCAAGCAGTTTAAATAGAGACTGGAGCAGGTGACAGAGATAATGAGAAACTGGGTATAGTTAGGCAGGTGAATGGGATGAACAATCAAGCCCATCATTAGCGCTAAGATCATGACATAGAAAAGAGGTTTGTACAGGTGCTGGTCATAAAATTAGAATATCATGAAAAAGTAGATTGATTTCAGTAATTCCATTTAAAAAGTGAAACTTGTATATTATATTCATACATTACATACAAACTCATATATTTCAGATGTTTATTTTGTTTAATTTTGATGATTACAAATGACAACAAATGAAAATCTCAAATTCATCATATCAGAAAATTAGAATATTGTGAAAAGGTTCAAAATTGATGGCCCCTGGTGCCACACTCTAATCAGCTAATTAACTCAAACCACCTGCAAAAGCCTTTAAATGGTCTTTCAGTCTAGTTCTATAGGCTACACAATCATGGGGAAGACTGCTGACTTGACAGTTGTCCAAAAGACGACCATCGACACCTTGCACAAGGAGGGCAAGACACAAAAGGTCATCGCTAAAGAGGCTGGCTGTTCACAGAGCTCAGTGTCCAAGCACATTAATAGAGAGGCGAAGGGAAGGAAAAGATGTGGTCGAAAAAAGTGTACAAGCAAGAGAGATAACCGCACCCTGGAGAGGATTGTGAAACAAAACCCATTCAAAAATGTGGGGGAGATTCACAAAGAGTGGACTGCAGCTGGAGTGAGTGCTTCAAGAACCACCACACACAGACGTATGAAAGACATGGGTTTCTGCTGTCGCATTCCTTGTGTCAAGCCACTCTTGAACCACAGACAGCGTCAGAAGCGTCTTGCCTGGGCTAAAGAGAAACAGGACTGGACTGCTGGTGAGTGGTCCAAAGTCATGTTCTCTGATGAAAGTAAATTTTGCATTTCCTTTGGAAATCAAGGTCCCAGA